AATGTGAAAGTTAGCAAATGTATTTTTTCCTCCTTCATTTGCAGCAGCACATAAAATCTACTTTTTCCAGCAGATTAGGTTAATCCTGTGCAGGTTATACACAAGAAGCATACAGGTCCTAAGAGATATGCATGATTTACCTATTCAAACATATGCCCCGTACGTACATTATAGCTGGGTTTCACTATTGTGCATTAATATATCTTCAATCAGCAAATTTGTTGTCCCTATAGTTTGTCATTTTGGCTTGTTTTCAAAGCCTCATGAAATGTGTTAACTCCTCTGCGGTAAATGACCATGCATATGCATTTTCCTGCCAGTACCATAAAATACCCCAAAAAAATGTGGGAATATAGTATACTGAAGGTCAGCACAAAACCCTCCTTCAGAACAAGGGGCCTAAGTCCCAACACAGGCCAGGTCTTCCCAAAGCAAAACTAGACTTTATTAAAAAGATACTATAGTGGAAATAGCAACGTGAGGACTCTTCTGTGCATACAAGCTTTCTTTTGGGTCTTCTGCTTCACCGTGTATTAGAACTATTATCTGAGACTGTACATTGTCTAGGACTGTAGCAAAATATTTATGCTGAGACTCAGTTCTACGTAATTCAAACTAAAACCTTTACACTCTTAATATTCCACAGCAGATTGATGTTTGGAGGAAGGAAAGCTATGTGGGTTATGATCCAGAGTCTACTGGTCACTTAAGAAAGTGTCAAGTTGTTTCTCCCATCTTAAATCAGAACACAGCTATCCCTTGGATCCTTTCTCTATGATCTCAGATAAAGAAACATAGCTTCTACCATTGACTAGGAAGTTACAGCCACGTTTTCCTGTCTTTATCCACGTAGGACAAAATTCAGCCTACTAAAGCAAAACTGAAGATCACTACAGAACTTCTTATAGCTGCAGCTACTGGTGACTACAAAGCATCTGTTGCAAACGTCATTATCTAGACTGCTGTCAGCCTCTGGAGCTCAGCTTGGTTGGCCTGTGGCTGAACAGTTTTGAAGGCATAACTTTAGCCATAAAGATTCCTCATGGAGCTCTTCAGCCAAGTCCTTAAAAGCTTTAGAAGATGCTGGGTCTGAGCTTTTCTTTTTTTAATGTAGCAAAGCTCCAATTTTTAGCAATAGATATTGTATATTTTCAATGCAAATTGTTCTTATATCTTATTATTACCATAACGAACAGAGTTTTAAATTTGCCAGAGTTACAAATACCAAATTTGACCACATGTAAATGTATTAAATTTATCAGTTTATTTCCCCTGTACTCAGAAACAAGTCTTCTGGAACCATGCTACTATCCCCGTATGATTTTTCGTATGGCCATATTTTTCTAGTCCCACTCATAAGTGACAACAGCACTATGGCAGCAGAAAGGCATTTGTGATGTCCCGTTGCATCCCCTCTCCTTGCTCTTTTTTTACCTTGAAATTCTGACTTGGGGTTAGTCTTCACCTCTTTAGCTTCTGCAGTTTCAGATGTCACTCCATTTACAGCCCTAAACTCCACAACTACATGCAAACATTTGAAAAATATCATCTCTGTTTAGTTTGCTGTAAAGCATCGCTTTACATTCTGTAAAGCATTCTGTAAAGCATGCTCAGTTTCTGCAACCGCTACAGTCATGCCAGTGGTGGTAGTAAGACATTCCTAAGCATTTATAGCTATAGGAGGAACTTTAAACATTGTAAAATCACATGGGAAGAAAATATTGCTGTGCAAGAGGAAGCAGAATTGGCAGAAGCAGACATTAAAAAAAAAAAAAAGGAAGATTTCCTTTTTGGTGTAACATTCCACATAAATGTGATAAAGCTGCATCATGTTTCCTCAAAGGGAAAACAGTTGTATATGATTCTCAATGAATGAGCAGGAGAGTAAAAGAAAAAAAAAAGTGTAGAAGAACATAAATGAAAATGGCTACAGATAGCAAAAAAAGGGTGTTTTCCATCTGCTTGCTTAGGCAGCTTCGCAAATGTTGGTGTTACTGTGAATATTCACAGTAATATTTATTAGCTGACCACCAGGGACCAAGAAAGAATAATTTTTTCATAGGCAGTTTGGCACAGACTGCCAGAAACGTGTACAAATGCTTTTAATTTTAATATCTAATCTGTGAGAAGCTGTTTAATGGGAACCTTAACACAGGGGTGGAGAAAAGATTAATTCACTATCAGTGCTCAAGGATGACGTATCACATCTGTAAGCACTTAGAAAAATCAGATTTAACCAACAATGTCACAAGCTCAGTAAGAAAGCAAAGAATGACCTCAAATTATTTAATGTAGGCACTTACTGAATGATAAATGCCCCTTTTTATGTATCAAACAATTGTCAGTTATCTTCTAATAACTATTTCCTACAAGGAAAACAACTCTTTAATCACTTGAAACAATTTTCTTCTGCTTGGCAAAACGTCTGACAGTTTTAAGCAACTTGGCTGAACTCCCAACATGGAATAAATTTGCTCAAATTGGCCTTTTAAAAGATCATCTAACACAACCAGCAAACAAAAGGCCTATTTCTTACACACTTAAACTGATAACATGGATTAACAACTACTTGTTACAAAATGTATTTCAGAGTTAGATATCTGAAGCTTTCAGATGCTTTTTTTTTTTTTTTTTAAATACTCTTATGTAAGTTTGTGGCAAATGCACACAATAGTTCAAGACTCAGTGCTGCTGTAAACATGCCTTGTGTAAATCTTTTTTTTCCCCTTTAAATAAAAAGCCAGTAGTTATTTATTCCTTTATTTTTATTACATATTGCCAAATTATAGGCATCATTTTTGATTTCCATATTTAAGCTTTGCAAGGCTCCAGATAAATTCAGCAGTATGTAATGTCACAACACAGCACAAAATAAGAAAACAAAAATTTCTCTCACTTTAAGAATTACTATGAAAGAAAGTTTGGAATTTTCCACCTGAGAGTAAACTACTCAAGGCAAACTCCAAAGCTTATTGGAAAGAAAAAAAAAAATTAAAAAACCCCACCATACCTAGGATGTTCTTAATTTCTCAAGCCTTATTGCTAGCACCCTTGTATTATATATACATATACACACATATATACGGATTTCTTTTTAAATCATTGCCAAAAGTTTGGCACAAAGACTACTCTGGTTTGCACGTAAAGATAAAACAAAGACTTACTTGAAAGAATGCATGAAGCTGTTACCACTGTTATTTCATTATTATACTAAAGTTCCTCTGTATTAAACAAGTTAATATTTTTTCTTCAGGTCGATGACAAAAAAAGAGTAAGTTTTATTCTTGTTAGATCTCCTCCCATATTGGAACTGTTTGGGAGAAAAGGATAAATTTGTATGTATGTTTGATTAAACAAATTAAGATAATTATTCTTGAACTTTTATATGATCATAATGTGGCAGTAAAGTCATGAAAAATGGGAGCAACAAGATATCAAGACTTAAAATCGTAAAACTCTCAGGAGGTATGCAATAATGTGAAATACTTAAAAGGCAGGAATCTTCCATTCTGTCTCTTCACCTTTATCACTCAGTCTATTTTCCAGGTGGCCTGCCTTAGTAACATTATTAACGCAAAACACGCGCCAAGAACATAAATAAGAAGGAATAACGAAATGCAAATTGGAAGTTGCCACTTGGCTTGGTAATGACCAGCATAGGAACAACTTGTTTACCATGTGACAAATTATAAGTCCATACAGCTGTAACTGGCTTAATGTAAGAGATTTTAATTTAAACAAATTTTACGTTCTTCTACAGTAACAGTTAAAGAGCAACCAGTTACTTCCTTCTATTTGCACAGAATGGAGGATGAGCAAAGAATAGAAAGTAAGAGAGTCCAAGAAGAACAGAACATCCTAACGCTCCTTTTTCCTTTATCCTAAGTTTGCAAATCCATTCCTTACTAGAATCCTGTTACATTACCACAAGAAAAAGCCTATTAGACCAAAGCTAGGAGGACCATGCGCTCTTCTTCCTTGCAAAAGTAAGGCAGAAGAGAACAATTGCATTAAATGGTAATGGAGGACTTTCAAGTACTCTGCCTTCTCATAACCTCCACAGATATTCCCCCCTCCCCCCACCAATGCTGTGTGAAAGACCCCCACAATTAACAGGGTAACCTAAATGACACACATACCTACATGTGGGAAACTGGTAGAATTAGTATTTACAGAACAGTTGTCCAGTACAAAGTAAATACAGAAAAAGAAAGGGAGGGGCAAAAAAAATATTTCCACTATCTTTCAATAAAAACAATCTTGAAGGTAACTTTTAATGCTCTGTGAAACAGTCTGAAAAAGGAGAGAATCAAGACAATAAAGTTCTACGTTTTTCAGTGGAAAAGCACCGGCTGGAACATAGAACACATTCGACTCCTAACAAAGGAACAACACCCACCAGTGCAGCTGGGGAATAAGACCCAGAACAGGAACCTCTGAGCCATGGAAATTTTCTCTGCAGTTCAAAATACTTCCTAGGACTTAAGGACTGAAGCCTCTGACATTGCTTCTATAGAGGATTTTTCCCTTCTTTCAGAAGCAGCTCAACTAGGAACTCTGAAGTTCTTCAATACTTTTGTTTGCTCTTCAGATTTCCCCCTCAAACACTCAAATACACACACACGAATGCAGTCTAACTCTCGTAACTTACTGTATAATAGAGCTGATTTACAGAATGCTGAAACAAATCATCCCACCATGTTTTATTTATTGGCATTTATAAGCTTCCTGGAAAAGAAACATGTACATATTAAGTTATATATAATTAAAGTAAAAAAAAAGATGCACAAAGGAATTACCAAAATCCAGTTAGTTAGTATATTCAGGGGATGGTGATCAGCATGAACCCATCTGTAATTTATAATAGGCAAGCCGCAAAGCTTTAGAAAGCTAAACACTTCTTTGTGCTTCAGCTCAACAAATGGCAATTTTATTTTGAAGCAGCTGCATATCCTAAGATAGATATGACTTCAAGAACAGGAAAGATTGCACAAACGCCATCTGATTTCAGATTTTTTATATTTGTTATAGACAAATGGGTACCATTCCAGTTCAGTAGTTTAAATTAAGTTGTGTATCAGTACTCAGTCCCTAATCGAAAATAGTCTCAGCAGAGGTAATTTTAAGTTCTCATTACATTTATTAGTGTAGCATTTGCTTTGGTATACCACATGTGCCTGCTATCCTCTCAGAAATCAAAAGGCCAAATTACCTCATCTATAATGCAGTTTAAAAAAATCAAAAATCAAAATTCAGTATACGCAAATTTGGATGTTGATTGGACAAAGCTTCCATGAAATATTAACATATTGGAGAGAATGGACTCAAGGTAAATAGAGCAATTAAACCAAACTCTGTTAGATTTCAAGGCAACAAAAGAATTTCACTATTCAATCTCTACGTAAATAAATGCAAAGATTTGTTGTATTATTTTGATAGATTCTGTACAAATTTCAGTGATTAATTTTATTTAAATATAACTCTTACAACAATATACTCTAGGACCTTAATGAAAACGAAAAGTAAAGGTTGACAGTTCTAATATAGAACTTGCACAACAGTTACCTTTTAACACTGACTAAACAAGGAATGGCCTACAAAAAGGTTTAGACACATTTTCAAACGAAGACATTTTATCCCAGATTCACTATTTTTGTAAGATGAATTTTATCCCTTAGTATGCAACTTAATCCTTTATCTGCCACACAAAGTGTACAAGTTATCACAGCAAAATGTACAGAATAATCGACTTCGGCCTTGGTCTTACAAAGACCTATTTACACATTCGGGATAAGTAACAATTTTTCTTACTTTTAAGTTCTATACATATGTTTAAGCTTTAAGCCTGTATTTGAATCTACAAAATCCTCAAAGATAAAAAGTCTCTTAAATATACATCTTAGACCCATTACTGTATACTATCTGTATTTAGGTGAATCTATCTTTTGCTAAATTCTCCACTGCTGACTATGTACCACATGGACATTTGCAGAAAATGAAACACACATTCCGACAGTTAACTCTTTGGTGCTGATGGGTTTGATTGCTGAAAGCAGCTATTAGGCTGGGGAAAAAAATTCACATCTTTGTGAAAAGAGATTAACATGCTTCCAGCTGCTCCAGAATGTGATCAAACCTGTAAATAAGAGACATGTCTTAGTATAAGCAGCTGTAACAAATTCTGTGTTGGAAAACTGCAGTTACTCAATAGTCACACTTCCATATGCTCATTCCAATGTCTAATTCTTTGGCATGTGTGCCATTAATTCAACATCTCAAATTAGAAATTTTGGCTGGAAATAATTTTTTTTTGAAATTATGGTTCTTGAAGGCCTGCTGTTAATAGCTAATCACTTTAATGGAGAAACAGATCTCACCATCAAAGAGTTAATGTTGTCCATGCATAATTGAAACAACTCAGAGTAAGATTAAGGTTTATAAATCCTTCAATTTGTCTTGCAGCTCCATCAACAAGATAGATTTTAAATTGGGGGCAGGGGGGAGAGAGAGGGGCAAAAATAACTCACAACCACAATGAATACCTGCTATAAAGGAGGCAGTTATTCATGTGATCATTAGAATTTCCAAAGCACTGGTTAGTGCATAATCAGAAGAAAAACAAAGTACAAATGCAAACAAGTACACAACTTTTTACAAAAAGGCCTCTTTGTGTATATTATATACAACATAGTGTTCTTGTTTTTCTTAAAGTGCTACTGTCATCATATTGGCTTCAAGATCATCTATTGTTTTAGGAGGTCTTTTAGTACAGCACCAGCACTGGCATCAGGGGACACTGGCAGTGGTGTAAAAGTAGGTAAAGCATCAGAAATAGGTTTCATAAGAAGATGTCCAGAACTACTAGCAGGTGTTATGAGAGGCACTGCTGCAGATCGAGGCGCTAAAAATGGATTTGTATCTGGTCTTCTGCTGGTTCCTGAGACTGCAGAATCTGAAACATTAAAAAAATATATATATATACACACACACACACACACTAATACTTTGTTAGAAAATACTGACAAGTCTACCCAATTTCAGAGTATTTGTGATGAAACAAATTCTACAATTGTATTTCAGTTTTGCAACATGAAAATTCAGTCTTCTTGCCTTGGACTGCAGGCACTCAGACTTTCGTTCTCTCTGTCTTTTCTCATCTTGGATCTCATCTGCCACTGCCTCCTTTGCTGAACAAAACCTGCGTATTCACTGCAGGCGAGCAGTTACAAAACTGACTTGGTGCTCCCAGAGACCTGGCATCCATACTGGGCTTGTTGGCAGCCAAAATTCAGTAAAGTTCAGGCTACCCATAAATTTTTTGCATCCCTGCAACAGGCAACATCAACTCCCTCTGCACAGGTTCGCTCTGCTCACCCATCAGGCATGAATTATCTGTCATGTAGACTCCAGCACTGTGTGTGTGAGACACATGGGCCCCTTCGCATGTGCTACAATGCAGCACACAGGTAGGCTTCCCATCCCATGATGTACTGGGCTCAGCCACCCCAGGGCCAGCCCCCAAAATCCCCTACAAATAAACAATGCGGACAGGGAGCCACAATTTAGTCTCGAGATAAATCCTAGTATTAAATCACATGGCAAATTCTTACTAAATTTCTCTTTTGATGAACAAATTTGTTCCTAAACTTTTTTTTTTTTTTTAAATATAATCAACTCACCTCTCCTCCATCAAACCCTCTTTCAGCTGCAGATTTAACCTGTTTTCAAGGCCAAGGTCCATATACTAGACATATAGTAGAAATTAAACGGACATTCCCATGTCATATTCATTGGCTGGATCAGTGATTTTGTTCAGGTTTTTTATTTTAAAAAAGGTCTTCCATCAGGTAAACATAGTAATTCTCATAGATGTCAGTATCATATCCACACAAGAAGACATCTGCATCCAACACTTAAAAAAATGCTACCTTATGGTTTATTTACAGTAAGTAAAAACTTAAAACACCCAAACAGTTAAAGGGATATATATAGTGGGTGCTAGTTTTAACAGCTGGCTATCTAGCTCCTGAATGGATGGAAGGATCCAATAACTTATTTTCCAGACAAGGAAACTGGGCTTTTGCCAAGTAAAACAGGTACTCTACCTATTATATTACCATCACACTATAAGGAACAAAAGTGAAAAGAAACTTCAAACTCAATTTATGTTTATTAAAAAAAAAAAACCTGCTTTCAGAGGTAGGCTGGTATTTCACATGAGACGTTTTTGCTTTATACCATCCAACTACTTTAAGCCAAATGAGTATTTTCTGTTTATATATAAATATATATATGATACAGATATCTAGCTATCTATAAATATATATCTATATCTCAGCTTACAGGTGTTTAAAGCTTCAGTTGAAATAGGCTTCTGCAAATCAACAGGACTGTATTAAGGTGAACTTTTAAAGGCACATAAAATTAAAGTACAAACTATTAAATAAACTGAAATTTGGATCTTACATTTCTCAAAAACAAGTATACAGCTCTTTATAGAATAAGAAATACAGTCAAAAATCATTAATTTCAGCATAAGTAATTTAAGCGTAACTGCTCTTTGCCTCAAAAAAAAAAAAAAAAAAGTTAAAGACTAACACAGCTCAGAAATAGATTTCAAACTTATCTCATTTCAGTCCTCTCCAAGTGAGCAGGTTCTACATATCAGAGAGGCACTACAATGCTGTCATTACTTGTATTCCTCACTTAATGAGACCCAGGCTGATAAACAGCAATGCTGGAATCAGGACTGGGTGCACTGGTACACCATATGGAGAAGTCTGCACAGCATCTGTTTGAATCTAACAGACACTGTTAAAGCCTTTCCATATTGAGGGAGTATGCTCATTCCAAACTTCTGTTTTGGGGGTGGAGAGAGAGCAGAGAGAGCGCGCTGGTAGTGAAGAATCAAATTCATAGTTCTCAGGTGAGGAAGCACAAAATCATTTAAATCCCTTTCAAAATTCCACCTTAAGTTATTTATGTTCCACGTAAAGTTTCAAATCCTCCTTCAAACGTTACCTGGTATTTGACTGCTGGATGGAGTACTGCTAGTTTTACCAGTTCCAGCTGTTCCTAAAGGTTTCATATCGTGAACAGAGAGCTTTGGTGGAGGAAGAGTTGGGCAAGACTCTGTTTCAAGGAATTTCACAAACAATTCTGAAAAAGACTACAAGAGATTACCAATTAATATATTTTATGTGCTTTTCAACAGAGCATCAGTAAGTTAAAAAAGCTCCAAAGTGTTTTGTACTAGTACTTGAAGTAGTCCTTAGTGTGGCAACAATGAAACGTTTTCAAAACGTGAAGTTTTTGTTTCTCAGTGAATGGCATCTATGTGTAACTGATAAACTTTAGAGATAACACATATACTTCCACCACAGTTTCATTACTGATTGTTTCCAGATCAGTTTCAAATCATTTTCAAAATAATTGTTTCAAGAATCCCATGCTGCAATGGACATTGAACTCCCTGTGCCCACGCTCAAGCAAACATCATCTCCATCAAAACATTTAATTAAAATATCGATTTCTTCTAAAACTCTTTCTTGTATTTGACAAAAGCATCCTGTATAAAGGAAACATGGACTGCTTAAGGTGTCAGCAGTAGAACACAACATTTTGCTTAGAAGAGCTGATGCTATACATACAAAAGCATTACTTTTCTTCTTTTACATCTGCAGTTAATAAGATCACAATCCTCTTGTGGCCTAAATGCTTGCATTATTTTAGTGAGCAAAAAAATGAACCCATATCCTTACAGTTCAAGATGATTTACAGGAGTCAGTTCTCCAAAACCATTTTGTAGCTCAATGAGCAAAAAAATCAAAGTTAATCCAAACTACCCAATTCCTCAGTGCCCGAGTACACTATTCAGTGGTGTACAAAATGGAAGGTTCTACAGATCAACTGCTTCGATCGAACACATGATCAAAACTGCTGCTTCAGGAAGCTTACAATATCAGCTTTACGTGCTTTATGTAAGAGGCACTAGCTGCAGCAGCTGAGAAAGCTTTTCAAGTGAAATTTAAAAGACAAATGGGAACACGGTCAACAAAATACAATGTTATGGTCTTCTGTACTGTTGACTACTGAAGACTTCCAGAGTCCTAAAATCCCTACTCAATGAAGTCAGTGATCGCTGCAGCCAGCGGAACAGTAATCAGGTTTTGATTTTAGTCTAACATTTAGGACTGCAGAATTTTCATCAACGTCTACATATTCATTTAGTGCAGAAAAACCCAGGCCAACCTAGTTGCACAAAAAAAACAAATAACACAAAATGTGGTAGCACCAGTTAATTAAAAGTTCAATATACTGATGAACCAAACATCCAGCATTCATATGCAGCTTCCCCAGTTCTTCCACTCAAACATAGAGAATTCATGATTAATCCTTACGCTATTAAAAACGGACTGATGAGTAGGTCTCAAAGGCGTACTAGGGACGCTCTTTGACCCAGCTCCTCCACCAAGCCAGCTAGTCACCCATCTGGTAACTCCTCTTTGGTCTTCAGATAATAACTAGAAAGTTAAAATAAAAAACAAAACAAACAAAAATAAAACAGCAGTTAAAATATAATGAGCATGATGCTGCCTTTTTTATTCACAATAACTGGGGAATACCACAGAATCCTATGGATAAATAAACCACCTTAATTTTTGGCAAAACTTTTAATCTCTGCCTCTCTGAAAAACTAGGAGTTTCAAATCCCAACTCTTCATTTAAAAATGTAAAACGGATTCCTCACAATAGCTAGTGTCACATGTAAAACTGGCTTACTTTTCTGTAACTGCTATATTACAGCTATTATACACAACAGCACAAAGTTAAATCCTTTCCTTTCTGTGCATTAACGTTCCTCAGCAAAATGAAATCATCATCTATTCTATTAAAATACAGTTACTGTAAGATTCCATTTAGATCAACATGTTCCACATGAAAAAATTCAGATGAGAGAACAACAACAACAAAAAAAATACTTTCCACCCAAAAAGTGCAGGGACTGTCACCTTTAATTTAGCAGTAAGTGATTTCATTTTCTTTTAAGCATATTGCAAATGAAAAAGGAAACCTAGTTTTCAGTAAAGTATTACCTGATCGAGTTCTTCCTTCTTTATTCCCAAGATACTTCCCATTAACCTTAATACTTCAGGACGTTTATTTTTCGGAGTATGAAAATGTCCAACAAAGAGATTTCTCATCAGGAGCCTATAGGACGAAGGAAACTTGTTATACTGTGTGCTATTACGTAACAGTTGATACAGAATTATTGATGCCTGAATCCCGATGCATTTATTCCATACACTTTTTCCTAATTCATGATAATTAAAGTGAACAACCCAATACAAGGTACTAACAAGGGAACCTCACCAATGTTTTTCCCTCCAAGTTAAAACATTTCTTACACAGCAAGGGACAATGTGGACAGTTTTGGACATACTGCAGTAAAGCAAAACTTGAACTGTACATGAGCAAGTTTTGCTGCAAGTGCTACAAACTAGGAAAATGTTTATTCTAGTATCCTGACTCAGGAGAGCATTTAAACATGTACTTATGCATAGGCCCAAATAAAGGCTTAAGGAAGGGGGCAGGGAACTCATTTGCCTGTTCTACTTTCAATTCTGACAGGGAGAGAGAGGAGAAAGATCAAGCAGCAGAGATCAAATTTGCGCAATGTCCAGGTGATGCTTGCTGTGTGAAAGGGATTATGTTTATACCTTAGACTCATTACAACAGATGTACACTAATACCTTTTCCCTCCATCTGCAGAGGCCATGCTATTGAAATGTAGTTCTACTGAAGTTCACATATTGGTAGTTGAAATTTATATACACATAGGTGTTAATATTTACAACCACTAAAGAATTTAAAAATGTCAAAGTAATCAAAGTATAGAAGCCCAGCTCCACACTACTCTTATGACTGTAATAACCTCATGTCTGCACATGATGAGGAAAAAGGAACACAAATGTACACCAACATAACAAAAGACTTACTTGTCCACTTTTCCTTCTGTGCTGTTGATAAGATTCATTAGTTTATTTTGTACATCTTCTAGCATTTCTCTTCTGATCTCACCTGTAAAACGTGATTTCAAAGCAAATAAACCAAAATGGATGACTTTGTTTCAAAACATTATTAATAAATATATTCCAAAATAAAAATACTTAATATTAAATTTTTAAAAATATTGTTATGGTTCACTTTTTATAAAATCAGCATGATTTTATAAAAGATGGTAACTTAGTAAGTGAACATTATTTTCATTCAACTTATTTTAAGTTGAAATTTCTATTCAACGCTCAAGAACAGAAACATACAGACTATAAATCATCTGAAGAACTGATGAGCTGCTTAGCTTCACCTAGATGATAAAGAACTGGAAAGGAGCTACTGATCAGGGTCTATAGTCCAGCGGTGGCAATCCTTTCTGTAATCTGACCGAACTCCATGTTGTCGGGTCTTTTGATCTCAGCACTCCTCCTTTTAGGCTGTTCCAGAAAGTTACAACTGGATGGTTAGTAACCATCTTCTAAATACCAGTCTGAATTTTATCTAAAAATACATTAACTAAAGATGTACAGAGTTGTCTCAAGAGATCCCAAGTGCAATTTTACCTCTCGACTGAAATAGTGCAAGAGGGGCCATTACAGAAAGGACATCTCTGCCCTGAAACAGAGATACTGTCCTTCCAGACTCCAGAGCTTATTGTTATTTTCAGAGCTCTGCAAAATATTGGGAAATGGAAGAATTTCTATAACTCGGCTTTATCCCTTTTTCTGGGTATTGCCTACACAATCAGATCAGTTACAGCAGACCACTTTTTTAACAGACTGAAGCAGCTGTCATAGCATATTCTGATCTGAAAAGAGAGTCTTGCAGGTATGCTTCCTCATTTCCGTCTCACCTTCCCAATGCCCACTGATTCTTTTAAGATATTAGCATGCCATTTTCAGGTCTGATGAAGGGTTTAAAATAACACTACATTTTAATATTGATTAACCTCAAACTTTCCTAAGCTCTGCTATTTTGCAAAGTCTGCTGTCAGGTTCCCAAAGCCTCTAAGTACTTGGGAGTTCTCCAGGGTCCCAGGAGAACTGCAGGCTAGCCCAGCAACATCAGTCACTCGCTGTGGGTCTCCTCCATTGAGCACCTTTCCTGCTGCTGTTAACTGCCACAAGCCTGCTCCTCGCTCTCGAAACAATGCTGGAACGCACTCTCACGCGCCCCAGAACCACTGCCGCGCTTCCAAACTCTTTCTGCTGGTAAGAAATGCTCAGCAGGGATTCACGCAAGACTCCTCTGGCTTTATGAAGTACAAAAACTCAGTTTAAAACGGTAGACATGAAATGACAATTACCAGAGAAAATTTAGAGGAAAATAACGGCAAACACTTTCAGTCAGGTGTCACAGCCTGCCTATTAAGTGAATGGGCCAGTATCACAGGTGAAACAACTGGGGGGTTTCATAAGCGTAACAGGAGTTGCTACACAGATCTTCTGACTCTTTTGCACACTGACTCCAAGCTTTGAAGTTGTTCTGTAGGGGCTGTCATGAAATCACTTCATCTAGGATACCGCAACAATGATAGCATTACACAAATCACTATTTTTCTCACCAGAAACCTGGAACAGCCACTATTAGAAGGGTAAGAGAGGAGTTCAGATCCTAGATTCACTAATGGTGTAACCGTGCCGCTTTCTGAAATTCCTGACCTTAATCAATGGTTTGTCTATTACGTACACATTTTAGCTTCATGACACAAGAATATTTAAGGAGGAAGATACAAATGTAGCAGGCCCATTTCATTAAAAGAGGTAGCCATGGCCTGATGTTATGTTCATCGTTCTTGTCCAGTAATTTCACAGCACCAATTTCTCTTCCATTCTAAAATTTCACTAACACAAATTACTTGCTCACATACAGAATATGCCAATTAGCCCAATCATTCTGTGTTAGCAACTTCGGCTTCCTCTGACCTCCTACCAAACTCCTAAAAATAGCCTTTTAAAATAAAGCACATAATAAAGGGGAAAAAAAACATCACCCAAAGGTTTTACTGGCCAAAAATATTTTACAACATTTCTGTTGTAAGGAAATAAGATCCAAACTTTTCTCTTCATAAGGTTCAGCTATGTTAGAAACAGGATAAAAGTATCTGAAATTTAGATCTACACAAGACTGCAAAAAGTATAGAGTAAAAAAATGCTAGAAAAACCCATCTCACTTAAATCCCCAAATACAGGATTTAATAACATTGCCAGTAAAATGTTCTCGGACAAGACAAGAAACATTTACAGGGTACACAGAATTTTTAGAAGCTAAACAAGTGATTTCATCTCACAACAGCTACGATGAAAGTTTCCACCAAACTGGGATCCTGCAAGATGCAACCTTTCAGGTTACTTTTTCCCTAATAAAAGCACAAGTTTTTGTATGTAATTAAGACTTCAGAAATGCAACAGAACGTGGTCCCTCTATGTGAGGATCAGTTATATCCTGAAGTTACACTAGCAGAGATGCTAAGTTTTCCTCCCCTCTCTCCATCAGGTTGAATGGTTGTCTTCCTATCTTAAAGCGCCGATCAGCTTAAATTTCCTACCAATTTAATATCTCTTGGGAGCATATTTTTGCTTCATTAAAAAAGTAAAAACAAAAGCCAAAGGTACACTTTTTAGAAATGATCTATAAGACAAATACAATAAAAGCCTCAACTTTTTGCAGGAATTATGAGATATTTTAGAATTCTTTTAAAAAATTTTATTTTACTTCAGAGAAGATGAGACAAGGGAAGAAAAGTGACTTTTACAAATTTTCATACCTTTCAAATCATCTGGGATATATGGAAAACGCTCTAGCTTCCGCACAACTACTTTGTCTTTAGCAAACGCGCGGGCCACAGCTATGTTGACGCAGCACGGCTCTCAATTAACACTAATAACTCCATGACAACCTCCTCAGTGTTTTGGTATACATCAAAGAACTAAGCTGTGGAATGGATGCAACCTAATGCGTCCTGTTCAAAGACTCCGCATCTTTATAAACATTTTACGTTATAAACATGAATTTTGGAGAGCACAGAGCAGAAAAAGTTACGGCCATGCTGGGAAAATTCTTATTCAAGGAACATAAGGATTAAGCTCCTTATTCAAAGGAAGTTAAAACACAAACAAAATTACACAAGATATACTGCGGTATATAGTATGCAATGACTACATCCATACGCACTGAAACCCATTTCCATAATGTGACTGCTCTTTAGTACTCCTTGCTCTCAAAATGCCAGAGTGAGGTACTAGAGAATTAATTCATGTTTTTAAGGCTTAAAGTTATTTAAAACTAGTCTATTTTTTAGGAGTGGTTAAATAGGACCCCTGATGCTTGAAAGAAAATAACTGTAATATATTTATGGAATGATAACAGCTGCAGGAGCAGACAAGCAAGCTGATTTATTATTTGGGTCTTCCGCAGCGCAAAAAGGAAGAAAAAAGTTAAACTCCTAATACCACAAAAAGATGAACAGCATCTGAAAATAAGCTTTAAGTAAATCTCATATGGTTGCTATTATATACTCTACACAGCAAGACAACAGCAAGTTTCCCTTTCAATCTTTATTCACCAGCTGAATTTTAAAATAAAACTACTGATAATTTTAAAGTAAAATGCTACTGCTAAGTATTTTCTGTTATTTCTGACAGACTATTTTAGATCAGAAGGATCAACTTTTAAGGACAACTACATAGTTACATTCATCCACACAGTGACTGCACAGCTTATATTTTTTAAAATGGAATATTTCCTTCTACAATAGACTTTTACAGTTGAAAAGGACTTAAATGTTTACTTTGTGTATTTCTAAAAAGACCGAGTAACAGAAAGCCCCAAGCCAAAATTCAGCATGGACTGCTGTAAACCAAACATTTACAACGCTCTCCAATAATCTGTTAACCATTTATGGCAATCCAGAAAAGTGCATCTGGTACATCTTATACTTTTCCATTAAAATCCCTCTGCTTGCCAAAAAATTCTGTAAAGAAATCCTTCAAAAGATTTGGCCAGCAAAACTGTGTCTGGGAATGTATTTGGCTGATTTTCAATACGACATTATATGTTTTCTTGTGTAAATAGAGAAAGCAGTCATCTCTTTTTTCAATAAAAATTATGATTTATTCTACAACAACATTAAAGTGCTGTTTTCTTTATGCAAAAATCTTTTAAATTTTTTTCAAAAACGAAATTGCTTGCCAATACAACATAGTTTGATACAATACTGAGATCTAGTTTTCTCTCAATGTTCAGACTTACTAACACATTCCCGCCCCCCACTTTGATACGGTTAACTTGATTGCAGAACATTGCCTAACTGCAGAGCTCCCCATTGCCGACAGTGTCATTTTTGCCTATGCAAAGGTTAATTTTGATTCAAGGTGTTCTAAAACTTTTGCTGTGAATGTCTGCAGTGAGACAGATTTATAGATCACTCAATTAAAACTAACAAACAAAACCAGCAACTAGTCGCACATTCACATAGCAGATTGAATTTTACAATCTAAATTTCAAACTGCGAATTCAGGAAACACGCCTATGATGTTCATAGGACGCCAAACTGCACTTTTAAATAAACACTCATTC